TCTTAGCTTTCTTTTCTTCTAGCTTTCTAGCCAACCAATCTTTATAGTGTTTATTTTCAGCTTCATTTTTTTTACGTTCTTCTTCCATTTGTATTCTTTGCCGAGTAGAATGTTCCTCTTACACTTTATTACTTCTATCAAATTTTTCAACTCTTGCTTTAATTTCTTCAAATTCAGCGTCCCATTCACTATCTTTAGAGAATAGCTGGGAATTATTTATAGTTGTCGATTTAGTAGGATTTTGGTTATCTCCTTTATTCAATAGATCTGATAAAACTTTAGCTCCATATGGAAGTTTATTTTCTTCTTCTCTTGATTTAAACATCTTTCTCATTACGATAATAGCTAGTATGATAAAGACAGCTATAAAAGCTTTTTTTAAAAGTTACCTTTGCTAGCAATTTTTTTATAATAGGAACTATTTCTGTAAGAAGGTTTTGTGCTTTGCTTGCAACTGATAACAAAAATGTCTTTTTTTCTGTCGACTCTGCTTGATTTGTTTCCATTACAAGCTACTAAAAAATTTTTTAAAATACCAGTAATTTTTCAGTAATTTTTCAGTAATGAGCCAATAAGACTTTTTCTATATCCCCTAGTTATAACTGGCCTATAGCCACAAATTATTCTAGCTGTTTTTTCTCGAAACCACAGATGAATACATGGTAGTTTATGAATACAAACTCTCTAAATAGTTTGCTATCTGATAAGATCAGTATTTCTATTTGTTTATTTATATGTCAAACACAAATAAGCAAATAGTCAATATTCAACTCGGAGTTCTATTGATGTTTCATATTACTACATACAGTCGCCTTGATAATACATCCCAAAAAGATTATGGTTTAACAACGTAAAATTAACAATAGTATTATTATATATAGGTTTTTTATATACTTTATTGTTCTGCTTCCTCGGCAATTTCAACATCTTCTTTCTCTTCCTTTGCTTCTTCGGATAGCTTATACTCCAAGTCTTTAACTTTCTTTTCAAGTTTCATATTCTGTTGTTCAAGTATTCCCATTTCTTCTTTATGCATTTTCTTCAGATCTTCTATATGTTCTGTCAAACTTCCGTGCACTTTAGAAGAGTAGTCTTCATTATTAAAATGTTTGTGTTGTAGCTCGTTATAATCTTCCTTCATGAGTTTTAAAGCTCTTTTTAGTTCTTGTTTCTCAGTTAGCAAATTTGTATAATTTGAACAGACTTCTTTATATCTCTTAAGAAGCTCTGATTTATCTTCTTTGAGTCTTTTATTTTCAAACTCCAGTATGTTACTTTGGCCTTGATTTTGAAACCCTGTTGTTTTATTCTGATTTTGTTTTTCAAACTCTAGTTCTTTTTTCAATCTATCTATGGTAATTTTATATATTGTTATTTCTCCATCTTTTTCATCTCTAAGCCTTATATTTTCTTTTTCCAATCTCTCTATGTTATCTTTATACACTCTTATTTCTCTATCTTTTTCATTTTTAAGATTTTGTATATCTCGTATTAAATCGTCATTATTTTTTATATGTTTTTCAATTATATTATTTGTTAGAAAATCTATATGACTGGACTGCCATTTTATTCTTCCATACATTATAATCATTATAAAAATAATCACTGCTAGAGCGCCAAATGTTATTAATAGTATTTTTGTTTTTGTTGATTCGTTAGCTATGCCAAAAAGTATATTTCTAGAGTTTTCCAGGACTTTACTTGCAACTGACTCTGTTTGATTTGTTTCCATTATGAGCTACTAAAAATTTTTTTAAAATACCAGTAATTTTTCAGTAATGAGCCAATAAGTCTTTTTCCATAGCCCCTAGCTATAACTGGCATGCAGTGACAGATCATTCATTTACAAGTTGACAGTTAATTTGTTGATTAGAAAAACTTGCATTAGCTGTATGTACACACTTTGAGATCAGCAGTGGCAAAACGCTCTGTGCGATAGAAAAAATAAATATTTGTTACCCATCTTAATTTTATTTTAAGTCTATTTAATATACAAATCTACACATAGAAGAGGGCAAAGCCACATTTAGAGTAGTATTTTGCTAGGTGTACCGTTTTTATGCTTTTCACTAGAGTCTACACTTTTCTCTTTTAGGATCATTAAGTATTGGTGCTTTTGTGTCCATATACGTTGATTTACTCAGATAATCCATGAAGTCAATTACTATGTTGTAATACTGTTTGTCATCTTCTTCTCTATAGGCAATTTTAATATGCTTTATAAACCATGCTCTAATGCAGTCTTTTATGTTCTCAGTATTTGCCAAAACGCTGTTTTCTTTTACTTTGTACAGCATAAGTGTGATTTTATCTGAAGCTTTTTCTGCGAAAGGTCTAGCATCCGATTTAATGCCTGCCTTTGTAAAGCTGCATAGATCCTTGTACCGCTGGTACAGATAGGCCATGGGGTGTATGTAAAACATGTCAAAGTAGATTTTTTCCAGCAGTGTTGGATCTCTAAGCGCAGCCTCTTTTGACGGCATGGCTACTTCCATCCTGTACATCCATCTGACTGATGTAAATAAGCCCTGCAAAGCCAAGAGATTATCTATTTTTATGTGGTTGTTTCTGCAGAAAAGACTGATGTCTCCCTGCGTTATGACTTTATAGATCTTGGGCTCAATCCACAAAAGGCACAGAGCATCAAGTATCATATTCTGTTTGCTTTTCAGTATTTGGATTTGGTCGCTATATTTTTCTTTATTGGCCGGCCTTCCTATATTTTTTATTATCTTTTCAAGGTTAAAAAACAGCCAGTTTCTTCTATAGTCCATGCGCGCTCCAGTTATTATGCACTCTATCATTATTACTTTCACAACCTGTCCTGGCGTAATGTTCTTGCACTGGGCCATAGCGTCCTCAGAAATTTCCTTCTGTGCCAAGATAAGATAAATGTCGACCACACCTGCACTGCCCTCAGCCGTGTTAAAGAGTATGGGAAGATGCTTGTCAGCCAGTGCCAGCAGGTCTAGCCCGCCTTTTTTCACATCATTTGATATGGCGCTAGTATAATCTGTAAAATTCGCAGAAAATCCGGTGTGATGATGAAAGTATTCTTTAAAATGCATATTTGTCACTGCGTCTTTTATATCAGCACCTTGTTCGTACGGCTGTGCTCTGAAAAGAGTGTATATTATGTACAGAGCGAAGGGCTTATTGCACATTGCTAGCTTATACAGCGTAAGATCCTGCACTTTTTTGTTGCTGTTTTTCTCTTTACTGCTCTGCACCTTTATTACTTCTAGCATATACGAATCGTACTTTTTTATCTGGTTATTTAGTGAATCAATGTCATGAAAGGCTTGTAGAACTAGGCCTTCTATAGCACGGCCTTGGTTTTCTACTTTTTGTTCTGGAAGCTGGCTTACAGCTGAATTTACCAGCTTCTCTGCTTTATCTATTACATTTTTTGCACTTATTTCAAAATTGTTGAATATTCTATTTATTCTCAACAGATCTTCTTTTCTTATTTGTATATACTGTTTACGAACTTCAGAAGATGTAATTTTGAAATTCTTCACTTCATTCAAAAATTTATCGCGGATTCTAAGCTCTCTTTGCATGAAGTCTATCTTGCGCTTCCAATAATATGTCATGTGTTGTAAATCGCCTACTAGCAGCTCACAGGCGGCCCTCTGGAAATAAGCCAGCGCAGCCACTCCTACCACTATCTGTTTCAGTGTCCGTTGTATAATCATAGACAGATAAAGATACCTCCTTTTATATTTGGCAGTTGCAATTTCACGGAGTAAGCCCGTGCTATTGATGATTTTGTGGACATAAATGATTGGTGTGTAATGGCGTTGTTTTTATCTTTGTAAACTCATTTCTCCTCAGAATCTGTTGCCATTTAGTTGATCTATTTTTACTCGTAGAACAGTAAACAGCCATAGAATATGCCACTATTTCTGAATCATGTAAATTTACAAAAAGTCTGTACTTCAATAAATTAAATTAAATATCGGAGTGTACATGAGAGACAGCAGCTAGAGTTTACAAAAATTTAAACAATTTTTAACAGTAAGCTTTAGAGTGCTATGCTTATTATTGTGCTATATGGTGCTATCTTGTGAACATAAGTGGTGGAGAATGTTTGCAGCTCAGCTGATGCTAGGAGAATGTTGGCTAAATGCTAGATTTATTTTGATAGGGATAGTTCAGTATTCATACTCTGTTTGAACTAGCTTGCAGTCTTGGGATCTTTCATTTAGCGCCTTTGCAAGATGTTTTGCTATCAGCTCAAGCTTTCTGTGTTTTTAGCTTATTGGTTTTCGTTTTATTTCTTTCTTGCACGATGATTTGTGCAAATACTTGATAAAATCACTGGCTACGCGCTCATACATTTCATCTTCTTCTATGTACATGACTTTCAGTTTTGAGAAGTACCATGCTCTGATGCAATTTTTCATGTTTTCTGCTTTTACTAAATCACTGTCTTTTTTACTTATTTTGTACAGTCTGAGTACAATAACATCGTATAAATCATTTTGCATGAACGGCTCCTTGTTGTCTCTCAGCTCTGACCTGACCAAGTAGTCAACATCTTCGCACTGCATGTAGATATAGTACATGGGGTGGGTGCAGACAATGTCATAGTACATCTTGCTGATTATTTTAGGGTCGTTGGCTATGGTTCTTGAGACTGGTCTGGAAATAACAAGCATCCAGCTAATAGACATGAACCTGTGCTGTGTATTTGTAAATCTATCATATTCGATGTTATTGTTCTTACAGAAGAGGTTAATTTCCTGGAGATAAGTACGCCTGTTGCTGTCTTCACATTTATTCCACAAAACACACAGAGCATCGAGGATTTTGTTCTGCTGTGCTCTGGCTTCCTTTAGGGCTTCAATATTAGGAGCGGGCCTTGCTATGTTTACTATCACTTTCCCAAGGTTTGAAAATAGAGTGTTGTTTCTGTAGTCCATAAGCTGTCCGCTTGCTAGATTTTCCAGCACTATTATCTTTATAACCTGTTCTGGCGTTATGCTCCTGTACTCATTTATTTTACGATCAGCAATTTTCTCATCTAGAAGACTTAAATACATGTCCATTATTTTTACATCTGCAGGATCTTTAGACATACCAAATAGTATGTGAAGATGTCTATCTGCCAACACTAGAAGATCTGTTTCACCTCTTCGTATATCATCACTTATAGTATTAATATATTCTAGCAAATAATCTTTGACGAAACTCTGATTTTCCAAGGCTTTGTACATGCTGCTTAAAGCAGTAGTCATAATGCCTGTATTATTGTGCGAACATTCTCTAAAAAGGGTGTATATTATATCCATAATAAAAAACTTATTCTTCTCTGCCAGCTTAAACAGCTTTAGCTCGCGAACTTTGCTCTTACCGCCATCCTTTCTTTTACTGAACCATTCTATTACATTCAGCATGTAGAAGTCAAACTGTTTTAACCCTCTGGTTACTGTATCAATCCCATCAAGACTCTTTAGTATTAATCCCTCTAGCTCTTTTTCTGAGTTACTTATTTCCTCGTAAGATTTGCTGGTTTTCTTTAGAACTATATGTCTTACTATTCCATCTTTCACAAGCTCTATGCTATTGTAAAGAGCCTTACTGTCGTTTTCTGTTTTGAGCAGTCTTCCATTTACTTTTTCTATAATACTATAAGTGTTGTCAGAAGGCACTAAGTTACTTATGAACTTTTCAATTTTTGTAAAAAAATCGTTACGAATTGTGGTTTCTCTCTCTATATTGCTTTTTGTACTAATCCAATACTTTTCTATCGTTCTCATATCTTTTTCTTCATCTCCTTTTGCGCTTTGGAAATAAGCCAGTGCAGCTACTCCCACCGCTATCTGCTTCAGTGTCTGCTGTAGAATCATAGATAAATGAAAGTACCTCCTTTTTATATTTTATTATTGCAATTTCACGGAGCAAATGCGTTCTATTGATGATTTTGTGAACACAAATAATTGGTGTTTGCAGAAGCTTCAATCAATCAATAGTGATAAATATTTAACGGCTTTATGACTCAATAAAATAGCAAGTATTAACTTTAACACGGTACAAGCTTGCTTCTCCTTAGAATTTACTGCTATCTTATTGATCTGTTTTTTACTGGTAGAGCAACAGGCAGTCATGCAATGCATGCTTAGATTAGCCATATAAATTATGTGTATACAATCTACTGAATGACAGCTGTTTCTGTGTCCTGCAGGAGAGAGAATAGTTAGAGTTTCTAAAAATTTAAAATTTTAATAGCAAGGCTTAATAGGAGTATGTACATGCATATAATTCCACAACATAAATAAAGATGAATAAGGACAGAAGAAAATGCCAGAAAAGAAGAGCAGCTTACTATCTTTTATTTAGTGCTATGAATAGTTCAATAGCCGTAGATTAAGCATGTATCAAGAGAATCTATTTACTAAGAAGACTAATTCTCAGCGGATTCAGGCTCAATTGGCTCTTTTTTTTTGTTTATATTTGGGCTCAAAACATAAGAACTGCTGAGATAGCTACAGAAATCGTTAACTATCTCGGAATATCTATCGCCATCTTTTTCTCTATTGACGATTTCTATATCATTTGAGAAAAATGCTCTAATGCAGCCTTTCATACGCTTGGCCTGTGCTAATTTGCTATCAGATGCTTTTATTGCATGCGGTCTAAGTATGACTCTGTCCTTTTCTATTTGACTAAATAGATGGGAGTTATTACTGCTAATACTACCTAAACTACTCACATGCTCGCAGCGTTTGCATATATACCACAGAGGATGTATGTATGATATGTCAAGCAGCACCCCTAAGTTGTCTGAATGCTGATCATCTGTGTTAGCTAATGGCGCTATAGCTCCCTCGTACATCCATTTAGCAGACACGAAGCTAGAGTGTATTTCTTTGAAACTGTAGTGGCCGATGCCAATTTCACTGCACAGCTCTCTGGCTTGATTGTATATATCATTGTTTTTCTGATTGCTCCATATGTAGGATAGACTCTTAAGTATCCTGTCTTGCTTTTCTTTTTCGATTCTAAAGTCTTCTTGAAAATGTGTGCTATACTCTATTGGTCCAAACATACTCTCTACTATCTTTCCTAGGTTGCGGAATAGGGTGTTGCTTTTGCAGTCCATAAGGTACCTGCTCATCACATATTCGATTACTACTAATTTTACAACCTGTTTAGGTGTTATATCCATGTACTCTTCTAGCTCTTCTTCATCGATGTTTTCTTCCAGCAAATTAAGATACATGTTCAATGTTCCGTCATCTATCAGAGACGGTTTATTTGCATTTATTGGAACATATGGCCCAAATAGCAGATAAAAGTGTCTGGCGCCTGATAGCAATAGATTCATGTGATTATCTACTACGTCCTTTTCTATAAACTCTACGAAAAGCTGTATGCTACTCTTTGAAATAACACCTGATAATATTCTTTCACACAAACTCTCTACCATTTTTTCCTTTGCACCTTCATCGCATAGATCAGATGGGTTTATCTCAGAGAGTGTGTATATTATGTCAGCAGCCAAGATCTTATTGCTCTTTGCCAGTTTGAACAGAGCCAGGTTGTGCAGCTCAATAATCTCTTTCTTGATTCCATTGTGTTCTTCTATTACTTCTACCATATATGAATCGTACTTGTTTATTTTCCTGGTCAATGAAGTGCTGATGTCAAGAACTGGTGTGATCAGCTTCTTCAACTTACTTTCATTTTCTTTAACTCCAGCTTCAAATTCTTCTTTTGTTTGTCCTTTATTTGCATCGCTAGAATTCAAAGAGTCTATGCAGCCATATAAAGCTAGTATTGAGTTTGTTGCTTCTATAACTTTGCTGGATTCTTTTTCAAAGTGCTCAAACTCTTCCATTATAGCACTCATGCGTGTTTCTATTTCGGTACTTTTCTCAAGCCGTTTATCCGAAATTAACGCAAGCGCATGAAAATTAAGAGCTCTAAAGTTTGTGAAGAATTCGCTGCGTATATTAGTCTCTTTGCCGAAATAGGATGCCCTATTAGTCCAGTATTTTTTTATTTCCTTTGCGTCATCTTTTGTTAATTCACAGGTCGCTCTTTGTAAACAAGCCAGAGCGGCAGCTCCTACTATTATTATCCGTTTCAGTGCGCATAGGATCATAAAAATTAAATATTTTCATTATTTGTACTTGTTTATTTCTACTTTTGTAGGGG